GTGTATGACGATCTACGTCATGATTCTATGTTGCTGATTAAATAAAATCATATGGTAATGACGTGTCTGACAGATATAGCCGGTGTTCTATCACATAGCCATATGCTGTCAAAATAGCATACATGCAGCTGTAATGTCTGCCATGGTGTCAGACTGCCTGGCTTCATGTACTGGGATAGAGAGTGAAAACAGTCACGATGAGCGCCTTCTGTTTGGTTAATTCTTGCTTGTTGCTCCTTGGTCAGTGTTCATGGTTGAGCGTTATTTACCATCAGGGCATTGCCTCAATTACTATGTTTAATGGTGCAACAGTGGTGGTTTCTTTTATGAGCAATATGGGCAAATGCCCAGGGCGTTATGTTTTTAGGGATGGCATGAGACCATCACATTTTTTAGCACATAAATGGAATATTTAATATTGGTAAAATGTATTAAGTATTTAATATCTAGGTGTTTTATGGTAATATGGCTCTGTCAGATTATTTTGAGAAGCAATTTCGATCATATTTTACATTTTATTGTCATGTAGCGCGGGCCGCTGGTCTTGGTCTTGACTCGGTCTCGACTTCCCTCGGACTTGGTCTTGAATTGGTCTTGGACCCCAAAAGTCTTGGTCTTGTCTCGGTCTCGATACACTCTGGTCTTGGTCTTGTCTTGGTCTTGGGTTAGGTGGTCTTGAACACAACACTGGGCTCAGTTATCTCTGCCAGACTTTATAACAGCTCATTTCAAGTCATTCTTCCTGTAAACCAGCTGATTTACTGTAAATCCACAGCTCTTCATGTGTTTAAATCCTGCAGTTTCTTCACATGTACCTGGGAGGCTCTACTGTAAAGGTGCAAACCCTGAACTGATGTATGAATCAGAGTAAATATTCAGTATCTAAAGACTAAAGAAACATCTGAACTTTTAGAAGGAAAATACCAAGAAATACTGAAGACTTGTGAGCTGTAGATTCAATTCAGTTCATTTTTATTTATGTAGCACAAATTCATAACACATCGTCTCAATACATTTTACAAAACAAGACACATACACACATTTCAACTGATCCTAATTATCAAAAAGTACATTAAGCTCAGTTATCACAAATAGTTTAAAAGGTTTCTAAGAAAAGATGAAAAACATGTACAGTAAAACACATTTGATCAAGTTTTAGAGTTTTAACATAAACCTAATGTAATGGGTTTCATAGATTGATATATTATGAAAGTTATTTAAAATACACAGGAGGATGACAGTCATTTCAGTGAAGAAAAACAATAAGGAATAAATCATTGACACTAATAAAAACTGCATTTCTGCATATAGAAGTGATGTCAGCATAATCAAAACAAACGTAAACAAATAAAACCAAACATGATAAATATAAGCAATCATCTGCAGTTTATGCAGTTTGTTGCCTGTTTCTGTAAATTGAATGACTTACTGCAGCTGAATTTTCTGATTATTTGATGTCCTGAATTTGAGTTTTGAATCTGTTTTGATTGGATTCAGTTAGACTGTTATTTGCTTTAATGTAAATATGACTGATGCTAATCGTATTCATTGTGACTAAATAAATTAATTAAACTGGAGGTAAATTTCCTTTGCAGTCTAAGACCACTAGATGGCAGTGTAGTAAAAGTTTATCGAAGCTGAACAGAAAGTGGAATAATATGAATGTGATGAATATTTTCTATGATTAATAAAATAAAACCCATTGAGATGGACCTGAAGCTTCAGACCAAAACATCTACTTCATAAATCCAGAGATGTTTTGGTTTTATTTATATTTTCTCAGGACTCATTTTGTCTCAGAGTTCAACCAAACATGGCTTTGAAAGCTTTGGCCAGCCTGTCATGTACTTTGGTTTCTGCACTGCTTTCTGTTCTTCTGAAGAACTTTATCACTGAAGATATTATAGATTGGAACGTGGAGGCCAACATCTTCTCAGCTGAGGTCACTCCAGTGAAATCGATGGTGCAGGCGTACTGCTGCTTCAGAGCTTCTTCATCCAGCTTCATTTTTCTAGATAGTTTCCCCAGACAGAAGGTGAGGTGGAGCGTGGCCTGAAACCTGGAGAACATGAGCACCAGCGACAGAGCCAAGGTGACCACAGGGAGAGGGATATCTTCATCATCATCATCATCATCATCATCATCTTCTTCTTCTTCTTCTGGGAGGATCAATGGGATGAGGATATGGTTTCTTCCAGGGTTGCCATGTCTGCTTTCTAGCCTCTCAAATTTCCATTGAACCTGGAGCTTTTTCTGCCACAAACGACTTATTTTATCTTTAATATTCTGCTAACAGCTTAAGATGTGGGGCGAACATTTCATGCCTTTTTCATCTGCAGCCCAGGCGTACTGCCGCTCCAGGTAACACCTGTCAAACTTCTGACCAATAGAACTGCAGCCCAGACAGGCGTCCAGGTGGACGGTGGCTTTGAACCTGGACTGGAGCAGAACCGGAGACAGGTGACCACAGAGAACGGGACGCTGTCTGATTTTTTTCCTGGGAGGATGAAGGGAATGACGATCCGGTTTCTCCCATCAGGACCGTGTAATTTGGTGAGAGACTCAAAGTCCTTCCAAACCCCATCGTCTGGTTGTAGAGGACTAACTGAGATGTTTGGGATCATCTGGTCTCCTGCCTGCCTCATTGAGTTCCAGCGGTCGGGTAGTTTCACGGGTCGATGTTTTTCATCAGGAACTGGACATCCATCCTCCTTGGAGCAGAAAAATACTCTGTGCTGAGGCTTCAGTTTTCCTGTGGCGATGGCGTACGTTAGCTGTGCGCCGTAAGAGTCACAGTTCCAGGGAGCGTAGAGAACCACGTCCCTGATGGAGGCCAGAGGCAGCAGGCAGCTGGCTGGGATCATGAAGTCTCTGATAGATCCATGAGCCACAAAGGTGATGTCCACAGTGTCACTGTGATTCTTCTCCTCCTCCTCATCTATGTGTTTTTTGAAGAAGTTGAACATCTCCACCAGCTTTGGAAAGGTGTTTTTATTCAGCAACTTCAGGGTCTTTCGATTGGCGCAGTTCTCCTCTGCAAGCTTCATCAGCCTGTTCTTCTCGTCTCTGTGGACAAACGTCAAGAACATTTATTTGTTGTGATCACCACAGTATTCACAGAACATGTTCAGACCACAGCTAACCAGGTGATGAAGTGAGAAAACCAGGCTGCAGAGAGAAGCAGAGAGAAGCAGACCTCCTCAGACTGTGGCAGGCAAATTCATGCAATATCTGGAGAAATAGTTGCTTAGAGCCTCCAAATAATCAAAGCTTGTTTTAAGTTTCGGGCTCTGAATTCCTGACAACCTTTGCTTCGGTCTTCTAGTTCTCATAGTCTTGGGTTGGTCTGGGAGGTTCCGGCGCTGACTCTTCGTGGCTTGCAGAGGTTCTCTTGCCCCCCTACCTGGGGTAGCTACTCTGGATGGACACCCCTTGGTGTCGCTGGGAAGCTTTGAGGGATCCAAGGTGTGAGACAGATGCATGTGGATCTTACATGCACAAAGGGAGAGTCTGAAAGAGACGCACCTTGCTCTGCTCAGTCCTTTCCTAATTTTAATGCATTTGATACACAAATCTCTCAAATTCCTTCTCCAGTCCCAGTTTGAACACAGCAGCGTCAACGATGGGAAATCTGGAACCAAGGTGTAGAGGGCCACCTGTTTCCCCCCCACCCTCCTCTTACACATGTACACTAGAAATCACAGGTAACAGCTGGTCAAACGACTGATCACTTTGTCCTGCTGGACCCCTGTGGGTCCTCTTTGCTTCAGTGCTTTAAAGCAACAGAAACATCAGAAATATAAGGAGTTCAGAAACTCACAAGATCTGCTTCTGGCTTTTCATCTCCTTGAAAGCAGAATGTAACTTCATCAGGTTGGAAAGGACTGAGTTTTTCATGGTTGGCAGAAAGTCAGCACCTGAAAGGAGAAGGGAGCTTTTATTTTTTTCCTAAAACTGTCAGGTTCTGGGCTTTTCTTTTAAGAAAAGTGTCTCTCCCCTTCAGCTTCCCGTGGGGGAGAAATTGATGGGAAGGACTGAAACTTAGTCACATTTCCTAAACATGCAGTAGTTGTTGCATATTAAAAATAATGAAGCTTGTTGTCAACCAGATCCCTCTGACCCCAATCCGAGTGTCTCCCCATTCCCTCTGCATCCCAACACCAGAGTGCTAATCTAACTTAGCTGCCTTACAGTCCTTGACTGTTTATAAAATATCTCTGTAAAGGGAGAAACCACACAAAGTCTCTGCAAGATGTAAGATTTCTCATTTATTGACAGGAATTACAGCATATAAATAGTGGCACAAAGTGCCCCCTTCCCAAATGTGTGATTGGTTTATAATCTATTAGCAAATCACAAACAGTTGTCTAATAAGAATCAACACAGCATCACATGAGTCTGTTGACTTTCTGACATCAGAGATTGGGTTGATGAAAACGGCTTTCTGCATAATTTCTGCAGCTGTGACGTGTTAAAGCAGGATGTGAAGCAAATACACAAAATGTTTAATGCTCCACTTGTCTTAGTACATACAGTGTGATATGAGAACATTTGGTGTAATTTTAATACAGACTAATAACCATAAAACACATAAATCTGGTACTTCATGTATATATTATAATTTCTACATTTAGATTGACAGATCATATTATTAACAAAATAAACTACTAATATAACATATTCATAATCTTATCTCCATCCTACATTGAAGATGTTATTAGAACATTTCATTCCAGTCCCATCAACAGCGTAGGCGTACTGCTTCTCCAGATATTCTCTGTCAAACTTCTGTCCAGTAGATTGGTCTCCCAGACAGGCATACAGGTGGACAGTGGCTTTGAACCTGGACTGGAGCAGAACCAGAGACAGGGCCAAGGTGACCACAGAGAACGGGACGTTGTCTGATTCTTTTCCTGGGAGGATGAAGGGAATGACGATCCGGTTTCTCCCAACAGGACCGTGTAATTTGGTGAGAGACTCAAAGTTCTTCCAAACACCATCGTCTGGTCGTAGAGGACTAACTGAGATGTTTGGGATCATCTGGTCTCCTGCCTGCCTCATTGAGTTCCAGCGGTCCGGTAGTTTCACAGGTCGATGTTTTTCATCAGGAACTGGACATCCATCCTTCTTGTAGCAGTAGAAAACTCTATGCTGAGGCTTCAGTCGTCCTGTGGCGACTGCGTACCCCAAACCGCAGGAGACACAGTTCCAGGGAGCGTAGAGAACCACGTCCCTGATGGAGGCCAGAGGCAGCAGGCAGCTGGCTGGGATCATGAAGTCTCTGATACATCCATGAGCCATGAAGGTGATGTCCACTGTCTCACTGTGGTCCTTCTTTTCCTCCTCATCTATGTGTTTTTTAAAGAAGTTGAACATCTCCACCAGTTTGGTGAAGGAGTTTTCTCTCAGCCACTTCAAAACGACTGGATTTGAACAATTTCTCTCTGCAAGTTTTATCAGTCGGCTCTTTTCTTCGGAGCTCTTTGTTCTTTGTGAAACTTGAACATCTCTGTAGATGTTCTGCCTGTAGAAAGAAAATGATGAATATTTAGTAAGAATATGTGTCTGTTGCCTCCTTACTGTCACTATAAAGCAGCAAGATATATTCCTATATTTGCCAGATCTCATTACAGTGGATCCCGGTTCAGTACTTGTGTATTTTGAGCTCTGGCTAATTTTGGACTGTTTAATCGTTGTTTGAGACTTTGAATCCATGTAGATTAATCCCCAGCAGAGAGGGGCAAAAAGCTCTGTGATATACTTCAAACCTTTCATTTGAGCCAACAGGTTACACTAAAACACATTAAAAAAAATTCTTTAGGAAATTATGAACAAAAACATCAGCAATGCTATTTGCCACAGTTGATAGATTAACAAACTTACAGCCTCCAATCTTCACTCTACCAGCGGCTATCCCCAAACATAATAATGTAGAGAAAATGGCTAAATTAAGGTCCTCCTCCTCCTGCTGTCTTGATTTCCTACTCATGATTTTCCTTAAGAAAGTTCTGCCTGTTGTTGAATCTGATCTCATTCAGATAGTAAACTGATTCCTCTCATTGGGTTTTTTCCCCTCAGTCTTTAAAAACAAGAGTTATCATAACAATTTGGACAAATCTATATTCTCCCACTAGCTCAGATTATGAGAAGTAATACCATTAGCTACCATAACTGTACAGATGGTCCACAGCTCACCATCCAATCACTGAACAGACAGAACAGATAAATGTCTGGATGAGCCACAACTTTCTCCAGATGAACAGAAACAAAACTAAAGTTATTTGGACCTAAAGATGAACGATGCAGAGTCAAAGCACAGCTTCAGTTATTACAACTGGAAACTAGAGATCAGGATGAACTCTGACCTCAACCCACCTGTCTAGAGACACCTTGTTTCATAATAACTGGAACAGTGATTAATTCTGGTCTTCATTCCAACATTTGATGATTTTGATGATGATATTTGACAACATAACTGGTTACTGTGTTGTTTTTAACAGAATTAAACTTCCTTGTTGCTGAAATGTTCTGCAAATAGATTTGACTTCTTCATTTTAATGCATTGACCAAAACAAACACATCAGCCTAAATTATATTTCTCCTAAGAGCATTCTGCAGCAGAATTAGATGCCACTCAGTAATTTCTCATTAAATATTTCCCATCAGGAAACTCACAGCATCATACTCCGTCTTCCCAGCTGTAGAGAAGCCAGTTTGTGGCGTAGGTCACTTTTCGGTTCACTCATGGTTGGTGAATCAACAGGAACTTAAAATTAAACTATTAACCTGCAGAAGAAAAGCAAAATCATTTCACAATAAGAAAATACTGAAGTTCTGTTTTTTTTTTGTTTTAACCTAAATTCCCTCATTCCTTTCATCTGTAAGAATTTCTACTCAATAACAGAAACTATGACTGAACAGCTTTGTCTCTAGAATAAGAACCAGATTCTGTTAGTTCAGAATAAATTACTACTAATATTTCACAGTAATACTGTTAATTTATTAGAGCAAAGCTACAGTTTGTCCTACCTGTTGCAGGTGAAACTGATGCAGTCATCTAACAGGTAAAGGATCAGCAGCCTCATTTGTAAGACTGCTGGGTGACGCCTCAATGAGAAACAAACAGCAAAAAGTGAAAGTGAAACTTCAGAGCCAAAATGTACCTTTATTTCACCAGGGAAATCCCACTTAGATTAAAGATCTATTTTCCAAGATAAGTCTAGCCAAGACTGGCAGCATCACACAGAAGTTATAAAGGCTTTAAAGTTTATTGACCATAATAAAAACCAGAGCCCAACCAAAACTGAGCAGAAAAACTTGAAAAAAATCCTGCAGCAGGATCTGTTCTGTGAAGCAGGCATGGAGTAAAATCTGGTAGAAACTCAGAAAATAGAAATAAACATGTGATCGGAAACATGAATCCAGAATTTCTCAGATTGGGTTTAGTGTACCTGTTGTTTTTCTCTCTCTGTCCTCTTCACGTCACAGAGTTATTTATTCCCTGAAACCAGATAAGAATCACCATACATGCCAACAGGTGATATGAAAACACCTCTGAACTGGTTTGGCTCAGGAATCTCTGCCAATCAGCTGATTCTTCCTGTAAATCGGCTGAGTTACATTAAACCAGCTGATTTACTGTAAATCCACAGCTCTTCTTGTGTTTTACATGAATTTAAATCCTGCAGTTTCTTCACATGTACCTGGTAGGCTCTACTGTAAAGGTACAAACCCTGAACTGATGTATGAATCAGAGTAAATATTCAGTATCTAAAGACTAAAGAAAAGTCTGAACATTTAGAAGGAAAATACCAAGAAATACTGAAGACTTGTGAGCTGTAGATTCAATTCAGTTCATTTTATTGGTGTAGCACAAATTCATAACACATCGTCTCAATACATTTTACAAAACAAATTATACATTTCAACTAGAGGTCTGCCGATCGATCGGCCACCGATCATAATCGGCCGATTTCCGTGAAAAAGTGTATGATCGGTGATCGTCGATCACGGTCTCTTGTTGCCGATCACCTGCATCTCATTTCCAGCCTGCCTGTGCAGCTGGTCTCCTCTTTCCTTCACACTGCGCAAACGCGCAGCAACAAATCCTAAGCGATGTGGAACTATAACCCACTGAGTGAATGGGGAAGTTTGCGTGTTGCGGCGGAAAATTAAAGCACGTGGGGTGAAGCAGGTCAAAATGCATCAACACAACGAATCTAATATGGCATAAAAACAAAGCCATACTTGATGGAGTTTGGCTACATCGAGGCTCACTGCAGTAAAAAAGACATACGGAGGATCAGACAGCAGGTAAAGCAGCGCACAGCTACAAACACTCACCCGGATTAGCATGACGGTCAGAAAGCTAAACAAATAACCTAGAAAATTATTTAAGTCTTCGAGCTGCGATGTAAGACGCTGGTTCTGCTCTCCTGTTGAACCGCTGCTATGCTACAGGTAGTAATATTTCACAGACGGAGCTTCGCTTCTGCTCCACCTGGTAGTGACTCTCACACCGAACCTCTATTTAAAGCTGCAGCATCTAACTTAAAAAAATAAATTTTACCTACGTATTAAAACTTTGCTGTCCTAACATGAGACAAATAATCTCTGAAAAAATAATCGATCTCCCCCTGTCCTGCATAATTACTCCGCTCAGTCAGAAACAGCCAATCAGAGCTAGCAGTAACCAGCTAGCCACCATGCTAACAGGAAGTTTTCATTCAGTAACTCTGGATTGTTTAATTAATGGATCCTGTATTTGCCTTTGAATGTTAAGTTTTATACTTGAACTTTTTGGCAATGTTGAGAGATTTTATTTTGGCTCTTTGTATTATTTAGCCTCTTCAGAGCCTTCATATGTTTTCAGTCTGTTAAAGATAGTATTACTGATAGCAGTACAATTTGCACAATGCCTGTTTTGTTTAGTTTTCTTCTTGGAAAAAGTTATTAAAAACAAGTTTTTGTCTAAATTAAGGTGAATTCATTGTTCCTTTTTCCACATAATGTAACCGGTAGGGTTTATGATAAAAAATAAATAAATAATAATTATGTGATCGGTATCGGTGATCGGCCCTCATGGGTGATCGGTATCGGCAGGAGAAAACCTGATCGGCACATCTCTAATTTCAACTGATCCTAATTTTCAAAAAGTACAGTAAGCTCAATTATCACAAATAGTTTAAAAGGTTTCTAAGAAAAGTTGAGAAACATGTACAGTAAAACACATTTATCAGGTTTTAGAGTTTTAACCTAAACCTAAAGTAATGGGGCTAATTTCTTAGATTGTTATTTATTGTGTGTATTTTAAATAACTTTAGTTATTTAAAATACACACAAGGATGACAGAGTATCATTTCAGTGAAGAAAAACAATAAGGAATAAATCATTGACACTAATAAAAACTGCATTTCTGCATATAGAGGTGATGTCAGCATAATCAAAACAAACGTAAACAAATAAAACCAAACATGATAAATATAAGCAATCATCTGCAGCTTATGCAGTTTGTTGCCTGTTTCTGTAAATTGAATGACTTACTGCAATCAGCTGAATTTTCTGATTATTTGATGTCCTGAATTTGAGTTTTGAATTTGTTTGGATTGGATTCAGTTAGACTGTTATTTGCTTTAATGTAAATATGACTGATGCTAATTGTATTCATTGCGACTAAATCAATTAATTAAACTGGAGGTAAATTTCCTTTGCAGTCTAAGACCACTAGATGGCAGTGCAGTAAAAGTTTATCGAAGCTGAACAGAAAGTGGAATAATATGAATGTGATGAATATTTTCTATGATTAATAAAATAAAACCCGTTGAGATGGACCTGAAGCTTTAGACCAAAACATCTACTTCATAAATCCAGAGATGTTTTGGTTTCATTTATATTTTCTCAGGACTCATTTTGTCTCAGAGTTCAACCAAACATGGCTTTGAAAGCTTTGGCCAGCCTGTCATGTACTTGGGTTTCTGCACTGCTTTCTGTTCTTCTGAAGAACTTTATCACTGAAGATATTATAGATTGGAACGTGGAGGCCAACATCTTCTCAGCTGAGGTCATTCCTGTGAAGTCGATGGTGCAGGCGTACTGCTGCTTCAGAGCTTCTTCATCCAGCCTCATTTTTCTAGATAGTTTCCCCAGACAGACGGTGAGGTGGAGCGTGGCCTGAAACCTGGAGAACATGAGCACCAGCGACAGAGCCAAGGTGACCACAGGGAGAGGGATATCTTCATCATCATCATCATCTTCTTCTTCTTCTTCTGGGAGGATCAATGGGATGAGGATATGGTTTCTTCCAGGGTTGCCATGTCTGCTTTCTAGCCTCTCAAATTTCTTCCAGACTCCATCTTCAGGTGATTTTAAAGGAGACACGACGATGTTGGGAATCCTTTGACTTCCAGCTTTCTTCATGGAGTTCCATTCATCAGGGAGACGTTTGGGCCGATGCCCATTATCTGGAACCTTGCAGCCACGTTCAGGTGAGCAGTAAAACTCTCTGTGGACAGGTTGAATCTTCCCTGTGGCGATACCGTACGCTGCGGTAGCTTCAAGGTAGCAGTTCCAGGGCGAGTACAGGACAACGTCGGAGACGGTGGGCAGAGGCAGCAGGCAGCTGGCTGGCATCATGGAGTCGGTGATCGTTCCATGAGCCACAAAGGTGATGTCAACTTCGTTGCTGTGGTTCTTCTCCTCTTCCTCATCAATGTTTTCCTTCAGGAACTGGAACATGTCCACCAGCTTGGAGAAGATCTCAGACTGTGCTTTTTCCCTGAGCCACTTCCTAACGGATTCATCTTTGCAGGTATCCTGTGCAAACTTCAGCAGAGTTTGACAGTCGTCACTGCTCTTGTTTTTGGTTTCAATGGAGCGTTTCACCTTGGCTAACCTTCGGAAGATCGATCTGGAAGAGAAAACGCCAATCAGATGACAGTTCTTCTTTTTAGCAACAGATTGTGGTAACTCTGTATTTCTTGTCGGATCTGATTGAAACGTTTTACACAATGGACGATTACATGTTGATATTGTGTCAAAAGCAAAGTGAGGGAATCATGTCCAGTTAACAGGACCAGATTTTTATGTCATCCCCGATTTCCCTTTTCTGACAATCTTAGGGATTCTCCAATTATCGGGATGATTCTTAAGTATCATCCCTCTTATTTAGAGATATTCCTGCTGTGTTTCGTGCATTAAGATCTAGAGGAGTGTTTCTCGAACTGTGGGCTGCTGGCGCCCCCTGTGGTCATAAAGGTACTGCATGTAAACAACCGTTTATTTTACGTGACATGAACTCAAATCGTAATTCATGCTGTTAGCTTACCAAAGGATTGTGTTTAAAAATAATAATAATGGATGGAAGTGGCTTAAGACATGGTCACTCAAAATACTGGTGGTAAGTCTATTTTTATTTTATTATACCTATAAATTACAAATAATCTTAAAATGTCTTTAATGCACACAGAACAACTTCTTTTTTCATTTCCATGTGTTTGACATCATTGGAAAACTTTCAGAATCTGTAAATAATTTGTCTTGTCTTTTCCAGGCACATTTACAAAACAGAACCACTTTTATTGGGATGAACAAAGCAGACAACAATATGTGGGTTAAGAAACTAAAATTGTTTTTTCTGGTTGCATATATGAAGATGTTTTGTTATTGCGGGAGCAATTTCAAGTTAGAAGGTCAATGTGAGTTTGTTAAATGGGTTAATTGGTCTTCAGTCTGAAACGGTTTGAGAGACACTGAACTGTAAAAGTTCTTCAGATCAGATTATGGTCACCCATTTCATTTATTTCCATTATTTTAGTTAGTGAGATGTTTCATCATTCAGACTTACTGAATGTTTTTCAGGTCGGTTTCCATCTGGTCAGAAGCGATCCGCATGTCCACAGCGTTCTTCCTCAGACTCTGACTGGCTTCAGTCTTACAGTTATTCACATCGATGCAGTTGATCACCAGCTCAGGAACTGAAAACGCCAATCCAACCACTCCTGCTCCAACCTGGGAAAGGCAAAAACAAGCAAAGGAAATAAAAAAAAGTTTATCAAAGGTCTGTTTTCTGCCGTGTGGAATCAGAACCAACTTTACGGGTCAAGATTTTGGCACAAACAGGGTCACATAAGTCACAGCCAAATAATTTCCGGTTACTAAAAAATATATATTTTTTAGCATAATCTTTATTATTATCATGATAGTGCACAGAAATGCCCATGTTTTATTTCCCTCAAATTTCTGAGATTAATCTCAAAATGTATACTTTTTCTAGCAATTCTTTTGACTAGAAGTCAGTTTCTTGAAGTTTTTTCTAAAACGTTTCAGAGTTTTTTGGTGGAACTTTAGTTCTTTCTTCTTTCCATCTTCAATGGCCTTACGCCATCACACCACATCTGGATATTTCATATATTCAGTGAGCAGTCTGAGTTACTCACCCGTCCGACTGCTTTGCCTGCAGCTTTTGCTCCCATTGACTTTGCCAGCTCTGGAAGTCCATTTGACACCAAACTCTTCCCAGACTTTCTCGCTGCTATCATCGCAAACTTGGAAGCTAAAGAAATCCCAAGAAGAGCAAAATCTGCCTCCTTATCACTGATCAGTGTTTTGGAGAAACCAGACATCATGCTCTTCAGACTCATCCTGGTGTTCAGCATCAGCCCCTCTCGTTTGGCCATGGCCCTCACGATCCTTTCTACAACATAATCTTCTGGAGAAAGTTTCTCAAAGGACGAAGCCTCTTTTTCCCTGCGCTCTCCTTCCTCCTTCAGCATTCCCATCAGTTTCTCAATCCCCTTTTCGAGATTCTCGATCTTCTCACCGATCTGTTTGGCTTCCTTCATGTTTTTGCTCGCCACAGTGATGTCCACAACATCTGAGGTCAGGTTAGTGGTCAGACCGAGGCCAGAGGCCACGGCTCCAGCTGTGAACAGGAACGGGATCGCAGCTCCTCCAGTGACGAGGGCTGATATACCAGAAACTGTCATGGCCGCCGCTCCTCCTACAGACACTGAGCTGCCTACAACTTTGCTGATGTTGCAACCTTTCTTGGTTTCCTCCAGCTCAGTGGCCAGTTTGTCAAACTTCTCTGCACCTTCTTTCTGCAGCTTCACCCACTTGAAGATTTTATCTATGAGCATGTCGGCTACATCCATGGTGGGATCCCAGTGATTTTCCTGAAAAAAGGTTCAAGTTTAGTCAGTAATTATATTGAAGCAGCATCTGATTGCTGAACTCTCACCTTTTCCAAGCAAAAATTAGAAGCAGAGAGCGTCTTGAAGGAGCTGAAGTTTCTGGATGTTTGTTCAGATCTCCTCTATTACTGAGTGATTCTGAAATACTTAGAACATTTTGATTTTACCAAGCTATCTGAATAAATAACTAATGTTGCATTGAGGACATTGTAGAAAGAAAAGAAAATAGTTAATTTCTGCCAAAAAAAAAACTTTAAAATTTTTGGATTACTCGCAAAAATTTTCTAAATTTTCTAAAATAAAGTGGAAATTTTCCACTTTTCAAACTCAGAAATTTCCAGGTTTCTTCCAGAACATTTCTGAGATTAATCTCAAAATTTCTATTTTTCATTTTTTTCACTTTTTGAACTCAGAAATTTTATTTTATATTCAGAAAATTTCTCAGATTAATTAAAAACAAATTCTCATCTTTGTCATGCAAATTTTTGGACTTTTAGAGGAGCTCAGAATTTTTTATTTTTTAAGAAAAATTCTGAAATTAATCCAAAAATTTCAGATTTTTTTCACTCAAATTTTTGACTTTTTGAGCTCAGTAATGTTCTTGTTTTTGTCTTTAAAATATTGCTGAGATTTTTCTTGAAAGGTCTGAGTTTTTGTTCTCTCATTTCCTTTCTATCCACATTGTCCTAAGACATTGTTGTAAATAACAGATGTAAATACGTGTAAAATGAAGATTCCAGTGTCTCACCTGTTCTGTTGAAATGTGAAAAGACTCTTGTCAAAGCTCAGGTTGGGTTTTTATTGAAAGGAAGTTTATTGTCCGTTTCTTTGTTCTGATTGGCTGATTTAAAGAAAGTCATTCAGAAAGTGAAAATGTTTCTTATCCTGCTGACCCTAAACTGATAAACTTTTGAGCTGACCTCAAACGACCTGCAGCTGTTTAACATCAGATCAGAACCAAGAGTCAGTCATAGTTCATGCAGAAAACTGAAAACTACAGATAAATGTCTTGATTTGTGAACTCGGATAGATTTTTGTCCTGATCTTCAGGAACTTGGAAAATGTTTGTAACAAAGAAAAAGTTGAGGAAGAGGTGCTTTAGTCTGAAATCTCGATCCATCCACTAATCCTTAAGAAATAACAAACTGCATTTGTTCCTTGGCATCATCAGGTTTCACCACACAAGATTTTATCAAATTTATGTGGACTTCACTTAAAATGATAAAAAACAACAAATCCAGCACAAAGGGAGATTTCTCTTGCAAAAAAGAAAGTAAACTCAATGAAAGCAGCAATTAAACTTCCCGTCTTATCAGCTATAAAGTATTTCTGGTTTTCTATAAAGGGGTGATGATGCAATAACTGGACCGGTTCCATTTATAAAAACAAACCTTTTCTGTTCAGATTGTTCATAACATCCTGTTCTAAGTTTAACTCTAGTTGTTTCACAACAGAGATCCTCATTATCAAAAGAGTTTCTTGGCTCTTTTGCACAGTAAATATGGGAGGCTATTTGTGACGTTACATTCACAAATTAAACTACAAATAAACACCAAAAAAATTGTTTTGTTAACCTGACACATAAGAAAACATAGGGCATTATTTCTCTATGTTTATGTCATTCATACATTTATAAATGTTGCCATGAAATATTTAGCCAAACATTTAGTTAGCAAGCTAAATATTTAGTTTGAAGCTAAGTGTTGAGTTAGCAAGCTCAATATTTAGCTTGCTAACTACTAAATGTTTAACTCTGAGATAAATATTTAATTTATAAGCTAAATATATATCTTAATATTTAACTTACTAACAAAATAGCAAGCTAAATGTTATCCGAGTCAATATTGAGCTTTTTTTTTAACTAAATAGCCAGCTAATATATAGAAAAGTATTTAGTCAGCAAGGTAAACGTTTAGCTTGCTTACTAAATAGCAAGCTAAATGTGTTGCTAAGTGTGACAGTTATGGATGAAAACTAAATAATATGGAGAAAATGTGACTGAAAAATGAACCTCCATATTTTTTTCGAGAGCTTAAACAGCCCAACCCAAGTATTTGCAGTGGTTCTGGGCCAAATGTAGGTGAACATGACATGATTGATCAACAGACGTTACGTCAACAAAGTGATACCAGAGGCAACTGGGTGACACACCCATAGCAGCATATTGTCTCTACAACAAGGCTGCTGGTTTAAAGGCTAAAGATGATCTCATCGGAGGAGATCCTCCAATGCAGCAACTGTAACAACTGTTTTAGCTTGTAAAACAGTTGTTACTATTGAGGTTTGATACTTTTTAAATTACAAAACCTTCTGACAAACTGAACTTATTTAAATATTAAGATATTTTTGCAAAAATCTGAGGTTTCTAACTGATTTAGAAGATGAATTGTTCATTGTTTCATGTTTAAACTCAATACATCAACATATTGAGTTTTTTGTTACTGTGCAGCATATTCTAGAAATAATTTCTCTAAAACATTTTAAAAATTTGTTTAAAACTAAATAATTTACTAAATCTGTTCCTTTTTAGTATATTTGCACATATAACTAGTTAATATTTTCACTCAGATTTGGGTGTAATTTCTCTATCAGTCACTGGATGACGCTGCACTGATTCAGAACTGATTAATCCATCAGTGCAGGGCACACCTGATTGTCTGGTTTACAGCCACGTGTTCCAATGATTCAATTCAATTTCAAAAACCCTTTATCACCAAGTAAAATTAAATGTTTTTGTAATTCAAATCATCTAAGTATCTTCAGAAAATCATGGATGATGATGTTGTGTGCAGGAAGGATCTCCAGTAGCAGTCAGTCTTGCAGTGAATCTGGAGAGGCCTCTGACTGAAGATCGTTGCTGAATGACAAGATTATGCTAACAGAGAAATTAGACCAGAAGAGAAAAGAGTCAAGCAGTTATAATACTTTAATTTATCTCTGATCGATCTGCAGGTAAGATTTTACAAAAATATGAGACTCATCAGAATTATTTTATTAAACCTTCTTAATGTTTCAAACTTTAAAAACTGAAGCAAAAAACAACTTCCAGGTTTTATGTTCAGCTTCAGCAGCAATTCATTAAATAAGGCACAGATGAGCTGCTGCTGTAACTTCAACCTGAACTGAACCAGCAGCAATAAAATATCAACTTATTAACATTTATCAACAAGAGTTTGAGCAAAAATGTCACCATGGTGAAGCTTAGCAATAAAAATAAGGATAAATAAATAAATAAAACAGGTTTAGAGCTGCCTTCATGACTGGAGCCTTCGTCACGTCCAGTTAGCTTCCAGATTTTCTGAATCCCTTAAATATCTTCATGATGCTGAAAATATTGGTCCAGTTTGGACCCTGAAGGATCAGATCTGAAACCATCGGGTTGAATCTGCATGAAGCTCTGTTTCCTCCTGAGGAGCTGAAATGTGTCTGCAGCTCTGATGGTCTTCAGGTTCTTCAGCAGCTCCTCCCTCACTATAAGACAAAGGTCAGGGGTCAGATATTGATCCTAAATCAGAAGGTGTTCATGTTCTTCATCAGCAATAACATTATAGCCAAACAAACTTGCAGTCATGTCAGAAAGATCACCAAGAGGCTTTAAGTAGATACCTGCACGTAACTCAAACGTCTGCTTTACAGAAAAGTGCTGTGAGGAAAATCAACTACAAGGAAAGTAACTGTTTTCCGTGTAGTTGTCTGCAGCACTACTGTATTTCACACAGCAGTGCTGCAGACCTTCGGTTTTGGGGGTTGAGGTTCTCTGCTCACCATGCAGCTGTGTCCTGGAGCGAACGTCACTCCTTTCAGAACTCTGTCCTGAGATCCACTGCTGCTGCCGCTCACTGAGTTCTTCCTCATGATGCCTGAACACAAAGCAGACCCGTTTCAGAAACTGCTACTCTGTCTGCTCAGTGCAGTGAGCTCATCTACCTGAAGGGGGCAGTATGTCCCGTCTCTGCAGGCTGTTTCTGCGAGGAAGAGTGTAGTTTGCTGGCTTGGAGAGACGGCGGTGGCGGTGTTTCAACATGGCCGCCGGAGGGATAATGCTGGGGGGTGGGGCTTTACCTTTCTGTCGATAGAGCTCCTCAATTTCTCGCTTCTGACTCACCTGCAGGCTCTGCACCTGCCCCAGGTGTCTGTGAGGAGGAGAGAGGATAGTTCACAATAAACAGGCATGCATTGTGAGATTTGGCGGCACCTGCTGGCCAAACTCAAAACACTGCTCTTTATATGTCAGTAAGGTGTATTGGATTTGATTTTCCAGCTATTTGTAGAGCAAAAGATGATCACCGATCACCCAGTCACCTGTGACGAAGCTCCATTAGCTCCTCCCATATCTCCTCGCCCTCTGATTCGTCAGAGCTGTAGGTGGCAGAGCGGCTCCTTGATTGGCTGCTGCCTGACCCCTCCCACAGACTGACACTCAGCCTGCGGCTCCCCGTCGTCCTCTGCTCCTGACCAGACAGGCCGTCGTAGTTACCAGGAGGGGAGATGGTGACTGTGGGATTGCTGCTCTCTGATTGGCTCGTCTCTGTACTGCTTCCTGTGTGCTCTGGTTGATTTTTGTTGGATGGAGTCGCGGACTGGGTGGTGGCGGTGGTGTTGTCTTGAGTGGATGATCCTTGATGACTGACAGAGGGATCTCCTGAAGAGGGTGACACCTGGAAGCGTCCAACTGTGAAACCTGGTTCCTTTACTGTGAGAGAAGAAAAGAGGAGAAGATACCTTTGACTTCCTGAGTGATAATTTCATTTTCAGGAAGTTCATCCCAAAGATAGCAGAAATACCGACAAAACAATAAATAAAGCTATGATTCCAATATAGAACAGAACGGTGGAAGAATAGAGGAAGAGAATGTCTCCCGGGTGCTTTCCTTTCCCTTGGAGGCTTTTTGGGAACATCCTACAAGGAGGAGACCCTGGGGGAAAACCAAAACAATGCGTCCCGTCTGGTCTGGGAACAACTGGACACTCCAAATGAGAGGCATGTCTGGTTTCCTTTCTGGACATGTTACCTCCTCAACTCAGTTAGATAAGTGGAGATGAACAGTGATAGCGATGGAAAGGAAAACTCTGGGAGATGTAAAAATACACGATAAAAGGAAACTTTTTTTCTGTTGTCATCAAAGTGTTGCTGCCTCTCTGGGCTTTCTTCTGTTAATGAAAAAATATTGAGAATTTTCTTTGTCTTACATATCAGAAAAGTAAATTTTACCTGTCAGGGAGGGAGACATTCTTCCTGATGGAGAAACAGGAGGGGACACCTAAAATAAAGTATAAGATATCAACTTTAATAAACATGGTACATGAGTGAAGCGCACCAACACAACTCGGCAGTAAGGCATTGAGTCATTGCCTTGTCATTGACCTGCTTGCTATTTGTGTTTGTATTGTGAAACAACACAGACTGGTGAATTGTAGCTGATGAACTTATGGTTCACTGAGCACAGGAAGGATTCCCAGAGCTAAACTGATGTGACTTCTCTAACCAACGGGGCATGGAGAGACGGATGTAAGGCTTGTTTTCTATAAACAGACATCAATGTGTTGATGAGCTGCCACTGTTTGGGTTTAGTGTTTGAAAATGATCACAGTCTCATTGGCCTGTAACCTACACAAGCCCCCAACAGGACAGGGACAAGAAATTCCTGGACCGATCAGATATTCCTTGAGGTCAATGTGGAGACACGTAAATCCACTGATCATAAAGGAGATTTAAAAAAAAAAACATTTGATGTCTATAGGCCTCACCATTTTGCGAGGAGTTGATGTATGAGGAGATGATGTGGAGGACGAAGTCGATGAGTCTGTACCTGAACCTGTGAACCAGTACGATGAATGTTCAGTGTGTTGGTCTGATCAGCTGTGACTGAAGTCATTAAATCCACCAGGTACTCACCGTGAGGGGGTGAGGGTAAGTCAGCTTTACGGTCAGAGCTGTTGAGCTGTGATGAAGGAGTGAGAGATTAGCACAAAAACAAGATGCTTTAGTTCCATACAACAAAACCCAGTGACCTCAAACCTGATCATCACACCTCATAGCCCATAATACTCAGTTTGATTTGGGATCAAAATTTGTTACATTTTCAACTTGTGCATTTTACTTTCACACTGAAATGTCAAACCAATCAAACCTGTTCCCCTCTTCACCTGTGGGGGCGCTGCACCAGGAGCCACTGAAGGAAATGTCACAGTGACATGAGTGGAACTTCCTCCTTCATAAAATGTAAACAACAACGGAGTACTGGCAAATTTTACCGGTTGTAGGATTTCTCTTTTGTCATTGGCTATTTCTCTCACTAGAGTTAGACTCTCGTGTTTGTTTTGGTTGTATTTTCCCAGAATGCCCTATGCTATAGTTCATTTCCTGCTTTTGGACTGGTCTTCGGTCCACTGGACCGCACCAGAGTTCACTTCAACTGAGCCGAGACCTAGGTTTGTAGGTCTGACAGTTTGCTTTTTTGGTCTGCATCAGCACAGCACCACACCACACTTTCAAGGCAAATGAACTGGAGATCAAATAAAGCGGATTAATCAAGGCGGTGTTAATTAGTCTTAGTCTTACCTGAGGTGTTTCTGGGATCCTGTTGGATGACACTCCCTGCTCACTGTCCCTAAATGAGCCAGTCTGAGGTCTTGGTGGGGAGTGTGTTTGTTGTATGGTGAAGGAATTGGAAAATGAGCCTTGGTTTTGATGATGGACACCAGAGCTCAAAGATGGAGAACCAGAGGAAGAGAGCGGGGTTTGGGGGTTTGTGAATGGGGGAGATAAAGGTGGAGTGTGGGGATACAAGCCCTGATTGGGGGCCCCAGATTGGGGCAAGAGGGACTGAGCCACACTCATTGCCACAGAGATGACGTTAGCTAGGGAAAAGTAAGGTTGGTCTGGGGAGGGCCATTGGTGAGGGTTGGGTGCTGATGGAGAAGAGGTGGGGGTGAAAAGGGAAGGGTTGCTTTGCACCCGGGACAGTCGGGAGATGGGGGGCATGGTTGGGAAGGAGGCAGTGTAAGTGGAATAGGGGTGAGTCTGGAGTTGATATTGAGCAGCATGTGGGAGATGAGGTTGGGGCGTAGAGTTGGAGTCTGGGTGTGGGTAGTGGAGAGAGAACTGGGGGTGCTGATAGGAGGAAGCTGGAGAAAGGAACATAAATGACAGTTTTAAAAAAGGTAAACGTCTGGGTAATTCACATGTTACCACTAGGTGGTGCTGTGCATCATCTCAACAGTGGTTTACATTTAGAAAACATGCAACAGGAAGACACTTAGGTTGGATACCTACCAAAGTGTTTCAACAAAATAAAAAAGATTACAGCCATATTAGGGCCATATTTATCTGTAAATATGTTCTATCCAGAACTCCTCGAGTTGAATTTTAGCTTCACCTGGTTCAGATTCTGTTAAAAATTTCCTATTAAGCACCTTTTACTATCAAATTATTCATCAGTTAATCCAAAAAAAATAGTCAACAGATCAACCCTACACTGCATTGATCTTAAAATTGCACAACTAATAAAGCATATAAGTAGATATCCATCACCCCTACCAGCTGGTAGATGATGTGAAGGTATTATGTAAAAGACGACACCATGTTGTACCTGATGGAGTCTGAAAAGACTGTGACCTCAGCGGTCTGACGAGGGGCGTGGCCTCGGTGTCGATACGGAAATCCACAGCTTTCAAAGGTGAGGGGTCATTGTTATCAATATCTGACAGGAGGAGACAACAAATGAACGAGTCAGAACTGACAAAGATACATCACATTTGAGCTTTAAACCACCAGACTGATTTTACAGTGCAAATGTTGGTACTTACCAGGCAAAGAGGACGAGGACAGAGTCCTGGACAGGCCCTTTATTGCCTCGTTTAACTGTAAAGATTAAAGAACTCGGTTAGAGTACCAATCAGAGTATAATTCAATAAAATTGCTGAAACCATGGAGTCTGACTCAGATGATTTTATACTGTAACGCTGCACTGTTTCATGAAAAGCTGTACCAGTTTAAACAATTAGAGGATTCAACTGTTTAGGCACTGTTCAACCAGAGGAGGGCAGAACTGAATCAGTTTTAGGCAAATATTGCAGAACTAAACATAAAAACTTACACAAAAGCATAAAGACAGAACCCTAAATAACCTATTTGACAGTTTAAAAGCAAAAAAAAAGTTAGATTTTTGGAGTTAGTTGTCAGAAGGAAACCTTTTAGGGGTGAAATGAGGCGCACCTGTGATTCGGGCAACGCAGATGCAGTCAAGTTAGGCAACCTGTTGGCGCCTGCTGGATGCTGCTGATGCATCATTAACTCCGCCCTCTTTATGATTTCATACATGCGTAGAATAAACCCCTCTCTCTCTGATGGCAGGATGAAGTCTCTGAACAGCTGAAAGTAAAGAGTTGGTTGATGTTGATGGAGGACAAGCTGGAGGAGAATGCTCAATGCTGATTGGTTGTCTCCTCACCATCACAGAGGCGATGTCCTCTGGATTGTCTCCATCCAGGTCGAACTTAAAGGTCACCATCTTGTTGTTGTGAGTCTGCAGCTCACACTCCACCACTCGGTCCGCCTTGTCGGACACCTGCATGCACCAAACACACACACCAGCTGTGTTTGCATCAACCATAAAATTGCATAAATGGAAACACATACATTTTTTTTTAAACTCATGGTTTTCGTGAGGCAAGTTTTGACCAAATCTAAATTGGTTTATTCCGCAAAACTGCAATGGAAACACTATCTTTACATCACGAGTTACATGATCATCAGTTGGATCTTACTACTGGCGGAAACGCCAAAGAAGACAACAACAGGAAGCAGTAGGAGAATGATGATCTGTTTTTTTTTTTTAGACTTTAGTTTTTAGTGCAAATTTCTTAAAACACTTGAAATAAGACAAAACTAACTTACAAGTAACGTTTCAGCAAGATATAGCAGCTTGTTTTACGTAATTCCTTAATATTGATTAAAAAAAAAACATTCTAGTTCCAGTGGTAGATTATTTCCCTCATAAAAAGACATTTTCTTCATATTATAAGTAAAATAATCTGCCAGTGGAACTAGAACTTTTATCAATATTAAGGAATTATTGACTTACAATAAGATCCTGTTTCTTCCTGAAAAGTCGCTTGTAAGTTAGTTTTGTCTTATTTCAAGTGTATTAAGAAATTTGCACTAAAAACTAGACCAAAAATACTTGGTAATATTTTGTATTTTTGCAGTGTTGTAATTGTTTGGCATGTTTTTTAATAACTTATCATGGGAAGAAACTTATTCATGTCTGATTTTAATTTTACTTCTTAATTAATGGAAACACAGCAATTGTGAAATTGTGTTTTTCTACATCAGTAGGACATCGACAAGCATTTGTTGCCGTTTGTAATAGCAGCTCGGCTTTCGACTGGGACTCACCCCGACGATCCTCAGCCGGGCTCTGGCTCTACGCCTGAACTGCTTTGTTGCTTCTCTCTTCGCTGCTTCCTGCTTGCTCCAATCTGATTGGCCATCGTTGCCGTCACTCAGGCTGGACGTTATGTCAGAGGAGTAGCTGTAAAGATAAAACAGATTTTAAAGTAAAACATATTGAAACAAAGGAGGCTGATTGTTGTATCCTGTGTGTTACCTGTCGACAGGTGAGGAGAAGCCGCAGCTTGAATCAGTGGGATGTTTTTCTGAACTTTGGGAAACAGCAATGCTCTGCAGAACACAGTTTCAATTAGAGCTGAGACTAACAATTACTTTATTATTGATTATTCTGTTTAAAAAACTGGCATAGTCTGCACATTTTACATGTAATCCTTTTTTATATAAAATATTAGAAATACGATAAAAGTTGCAAATAATTTGATTGCTTTTTAAAATCAGAAAATACGCATTTTCTTGCCTAAGATATACCAAAAGATGCATCTGTAGGTAAAAAAAATACTTCTAACATCAACATGTGGAAAGCTCATCCCTTTATTTAACATCAGTACAGTGAAGAGCTGGTGATTATTTCTTGGCTTAACTGATTAATAATTTGATGCAAAAGATGCTTAATAGGAGATTTATTTACACAATCTGAACCAGGTGATTGCAAAGGAGATCTGAACATATTTAGTTTTATTTTAAATGCAAATTTTCTGTATAGTTTAGCTTAATTACTACTCTGAATATGTTATACTTTCAGCAAATTACTCTTTTTTAAGTCTGTTCACTCCAGTTAACAATTAATCGATTGCTAAAGTATTTTGATAATCGATTCATCTCGATTTATCTGATTAATCATTTCAGCTTTTCAGATTTTAGAGATTGAAGGATTTTATAGACTTATTGAAATTTATCCTTGTGATGATTTTTTGTTGTTGTTGTTTTCTAATGTTTGTAGCTGGACTGAAGCAACTAAAGTCAATTTTATCTGTTTTTCTCCTGCTGACCTTTGGGAATCGCAACATCGGGAAGGGCGGCGCTTTGGAAGGCGTCCGACGTAAAGGAGGCGGGGTCCCTGGATTGGGGGCGGAGCTTAACGAAGGAGGAAGAGTCTCAGGAGCCGCTGGAGGGGTGTTGAAGAAGACTCCTGTCTCACAGTCAGCTGCCATAAGAAGTCGCGGTTATTAACTTGAACAAGCCATCATCCAATCAGACATTGAAACACGTAATTAAATTTACTGACAGGCAGCTGAGGAGTGAGACGCGTGTCTGGTTGTCTTGTCTTGGTCTTCGTCTCCATCTTCTTCCGTTTTGTTGGACAAGACGCTGATCCCAGAATCTGCCGGGCTGCTGCTCGCCAACAGCATCCCTGCTGGGCTGGGTGCCGTGGGCGGGGCTTGTATGTCAGCAGGAACATCATTCTGTGAGTTTATTGGACGAGCGTTAAGGCTCCCACATACTCTGTCTATTTCACTCCGTTGAAGTTTGAGCAAACTTTCATGTTTAGGTGCGTGTTCTCCGTGTCGCACAGTAAACTGCTCAGCAGAAAACAGTGTTAAAATCAAACTGCTGGCGCCCTCTTGTGGACTTAATTATGTCAGATTTTCAGCAACGTCTTATAAGACATAAAATTTAAAGACTTGTGCAATGCATTACTGAGGGAATATAAGGACTTTCCAAAGCAGTAATTACAATAAAATTACTTATTAAAGTAATGTGTGTTACTATTTCTGTCATCATCCTTTGTAAAAAAAATAATAATTTGTGATTTCCTTGTGTCACAGTGAGTAGGGTTACATATGTGACAAGTCACCTTTTCAGTAATAAGACAACGTTGATTGGGGATGAGCTAAGTTAAAGTATCTGAGTTACTTGTTAAAAGATAAATCAGTAATCAGTAGTCGGATTACTATGTCAAGGTAATTGTGGCTGAATTTGAGGGAAATAAAGGAATTTGTTTTGATAAATGTAGGAAATCGGTTTCCTTGACAATGCAATCAATGGGGACAGTATGGGTGGAGTCCGCGTGGCTCACTGAATACACAAAGTTTGGCCGAGTATGTGGGAGCCTTTAGGCTAATACTACATGACAAAATTTGACAATGAACAAACTCAATAAATTAAATAATAAAAAGATTTTAATTTGTAAATAAAATCTTAAAACATTTAATTTATGCTTCAGACTCACCTGACTCGCCACCCGTCCAGAAGCAGATGCATTCAAAGCGGATGCAGGCTTCTGATTGGACAGTTTGGACTGATCGGGGGCGGGCTCAGCCGCCTTCCTCTTAACAACCGCTTTAAGGTTGTTCAGAGCTTCCTCCAGCAGGCGGCGCTTTTTGTCCCTCTGCTGCTTTATGGCAGTCACGCGGTTTCTGATCACCTTGGCGATCACTTTGTAGTCGGCCTTACACACAAATCCCAGGATCACCTGAGAGACAAAGATGGACAGGTGAGTCCAGCCGGCAGCCTTTGGTGATGTCACCAGTGCGGTGATGAGGCTACCATCTCCTGGGCGACCTCTTCAGGGACGTCTTTGTACAGCTCAAAAAGGAACTCAATGGCATTATTGTCTTTGTATTTGCCCAGAAGCTTCTTCTTGTCTTCCACCCTGAGCCAGAGCTTCAGGGCTGCCTTTGTACCATCATCTTCCTCAGCGAGCTCCACATAGTAACCCGTCTTTTCCTGGAAGAACCGGTGCCCCAGCAGATCCTGAACCGTAAACCTACCAAAGAAATCAACCATCAATAGGTGGTTCGCTGTCCCACATTGACAAGAGACACAAGTGAAGCATATGAGAACTTTTCAGACACAGTTATATTTTAAAGCTTCTAGCGTAAAACAAATTTAATTTGCTTTAATCGAACTCTAGTTTGTTTATTTACAAAGTCTGGTTTGTTTGGGGAGGTGTGAATGTTTCCCAACTGACCTCTCGCTGCTGTTGGTTCGGATGCAGCCCTCGATTATCTCTTTCAGCTCCTGGTTTTGTACTTTAGAAAAATTATCCGGCTTGATTCCCTGGAAAACAGACAGTGGGTCAAACACGGAAACACAACAGGAAGTGTGCGGGTGTGAGGTGGACATGGCCTTACGTTGGTGACTTTGCGGTAGATCTGGGCTGCGTTTTGACACTCGGAGTACGGATACTCTGAAGTTGCCATCTCCAGCATGCACATACCGAAGGCGTAAATGTCCACAGCCTCGTCATACTTCTCCTCATACATCTCAGGAGCCATAAACTCAGGAGTTCCTGAACGCACCACGAGTCACAGTGTGAGACACTCAAACAGAGCCCTTCCTCGCGTCTTCCTGAGTAGATGCTTCTTACCAATGACACTCTTGGCGAATGAGGCCTTCTTGAGCGTCGAGAGGCCCAGGTCCCCAATCTTGACCGAGGCGGTGGGTCCATTGATGAAGACATTGTCACATTTAAGGTCTCGGTGGAGAATGGGTGGCGAGCGCGAGTGCAGGAAGTGGAGACCTTTCAAGATTTGCAGGCTCCATCTCTGCAGCAGCTTCAGCTTCATCGGGCGGAACCGGCGCACGTACCTGGATGGGTTTAAAGGAAAACACAGAACAAGGAGGGTCATGTTCAGGATACGCTCTGGTGCCAGATGGTGTTAGGGAATGAAAAAGTGGCAAATAATTCACAGACAGTTGGAGGATCTGTAAGAATTGTGTGAATACGGAACTTGTGTAAAATGCCATGTTGGCCCAAATAAAGCAGACAGAAACAGAGTCCAGTGTGATGATTTGTTTTTGTTTGCTGCTTTTTAACATAATTGGTGCCCAATGTGGGGCATATTTATGCTCAGATCTGACTATGTCTGTGTGTGTAGAGTTCTGCACCAGTCCAGACTGTGGTTTGGTTGACACAGATCTGTAGGCTTGCTTCTTACTGGACTCCTATGAGACTTTACAGAAATTCTCCACAGCTGGAACATTTCAACTGTTATTTTCTCATCTTTCCAAACTCCTTCCTGACTTTCCAAGTCAGATTGACCCACTATATTTGACAGTTTTTCTGAATCGGAACATGGGAAAAAATGTCTTGTTATGATTGAAATAATCTGGTAGCACTATCAATATTAAGGAATTATTAACTTATCTTGCTGAAAAGTTACTTGTAAGTTAGTTTTGTCTTATTTTGTCAAAATACTTGGTAAGATTTTATGTTTTTGATTTTATGAGAGATAAAGGCTTTTGTGGTCTGTTTTCCTCACGTTTTGAGCGTCCCAGACGTCATGAGCTCCGTCACCAGGATGATGCACTTAGCGGACTTCCAGGAGTCGTAGAACCTCACGATGTTGGGATGCTGCAGGACTTTGAGCATCTCCACCTCCTCGCTGAAGCGCTGGCGCTCGGCTTTGCTCAGACGATGAGTCTGTGGAGCGTGAACACATGAACACCTTCAGCCGTTCACCTTGTGAGAGAGAAACCTGCGCCCTGAAGGACGCTGAGCCCTCACAGAGCTGCTCCTAATGAACTGCTGACATGGCAACAGAAACGCCTCGCTCTGCTGCCAGACTCGATTTTCTGTTTGTTTATTTATGATCCGGCGCTTCCTGTGTCTCTGAGTTCTGACTTCAGGCTTCACAAGGTTGGTAACTAGATCACAGGACAGCAACCGGGAAAATGAAATTAAATCATTTTTTATACTTTAAAACATTTTATGTTTATTTTATTAAATGAATACATCAATACATACATTTGAGAAGCAAATTCCATAAATGTATTTAATAAATAAAATTATATAAATATGTACAAGAATTTTAATTATCAAATTAAATTGAAATAATTTTTAAAAATTGATAATTGAGTAAATATATATCAGAAATTAAATTAAATGTTATACATTTAGTCAATTAAATTTTGTAAAAATAAATATTAAAAAAATTATTTACATTTGATGTTTAATTAAATTGACAAATAAAATGTAATAAATTTGTTATTTACTAAATTAAATTAAATTATAACAATACATGAATACATTTGGTGTTACATAAAATTAAATATGATATGGTATTTATTAAATTAAGATATATAAATAAATACATTTGATATTGAATTGAATTAAATGAAAAACCTTTTATAAATTACTTCACTTTAATTTAGTTTTACCCACTGCAACTATGGGAAATGTGAATACAGCAAAAAATAAAAAATAAAATCAATAAATGTTTAAAAAATATATTTAAATGTAAAATTTAAAACCTAAGTTTGTTGTATTGGTCTTCTTCCATTGTTTTTAGATTTTCATTAATTTTTTTATTTCTCTCTGATTTTATGCTGCTTATTTAAACAACCTGTAGATTTAAAGAGAAAAAGTCCTTCAGGAGAAAAATCACATTAAGAAACACAAAACACAGAAAATAGCAACATGTCCGACGTGTTTCTGCACCAAACAAACAGATGAGATGGCAGAACGTGTGTGTGTGTGTGTGTGTGTGTGTGTGTGTGTGTGTGTGTTATCACCAGCATCCAGCCGCTGTGCGCTTGCTCAGATACTGTTTATGTTTCAACAAACTGCTGACTCATGCTCCATCGCAACACGTATGTGTGTCTGCAGCCTGCAGTGAGGAGTGGAGCTGAAGGACCCAGAAAAATGTTTTACCTCCATGTTTCTGGATGTTTGAAATGACGTGAAGGGGAAAAACTCAAATCCAGCTGGGCTTGATGGGACAACGTGTAACAGTACACATCAAAAAATTAAAATATCGCGTAAAAGTGCAACATTTCTTCCCAGTCATTTTAGAAAGTGAAGATAATGCAGAATCACCAACCATAGAGAGAGATATCTAAAGTCTTTGTTTCTTGTTATTTTGATGATCAGCTTATACAAAATGAAAAAAATATAAAACTGAAAAGATCACGGTGTCACCTTCTAATCAGCTAATTAACTCAAAACTCCTGCAAAGATTTCCTCAGCTTTTAAACACTTTTCACAAGGAGGAGAAGTCGTAAGAACTTATTGCTAAAGGAGCTGGTTGTTCACAAAGTTCTGTATCCAAGCATATTTGCAGAAAATTGAGTGGAAGGAAGAAATATGGTTCCACTATTTTTGCTTCCATTTAAGTGGTGCCCTGTTCTGAATGTCAGCCAGATTACATTGATAAAAGAAGAAGTGGATGCTAAGTTAATAGGTTTAACTAATTTTAATGTAATAAACCATTAATTGACAATTAATAGTAAGATGGTTAATTTGTTGCATCTCTGTGTGGTTCTGATCCATCAGTCCTTGTTGACTCTTGTAGTTCTGATAAACTACATTCACCCGGATCAGAGAACTAGTGAAGACGCTGTAGATAGAAAAACAAAGAGGTGTAAATTTCTGCCAAAAATCCAGAAATGTTGAAATTACTCTGAGAAGATTTGTAGATGAAAAAAGTTTTAAGAAAACTTGAAATTTAAAAAGTTAAAAAGTTTTGAAAACTACTCCAAACTACTCCAACCTGCCCAAATTTTTGAAACTCGAAAAAAAAAATTCAAAAGTCGAAGGCTTTTGAATTTTGAAACTGAAATTTCCAAGTTTTTTTACAGAAAATTTCTGAAATTGATCTAAAAATCTCAGAGATTTTATTTTGAATGTTTCAGATTTTTGAACTAAGAAATTTTCGATTTTGCTTGTGAGAAAATTTCTGAGACTAATCTAAAAATTTCTGAGTTTTTTTCTAGCAAAGTTTCAACTTTTTGAACTCAAAAATTTCTGATTTTTGATTCAAATTTCTGATTTTTTTGGCAGATAACCCCCCCCCCCCCCACCACCCCCCCCAGTCGTCATGGTAACCGGACTGTCTGACCCCGTGACCCAGTGATTACCTGCAGCTCGCACCAGGCCACCTCCACCGTCTTCTCCGTGTCCAGGCCTTTGTAAACCGCCTTGAATGAACCTCGTCCGATCTCGATGTTGAATTTCAGGAATCGCCCATCGGGCGACGATCCCACCGCTTCCGTCTCCTCCTCGTCGCGCGCCTCCTGCTTCTGCCGTTGCCATGGCAACTCCTCCCTGGTGGAGTCAGACAGCGTGACGCCGGACTCCTCGGCCGAGTCCCAGCCGATGCTCAGCTCTGCGGCGGTTTTATCCCAGGCGTCTGATTGGCTGGCATCTTCATCTTCATCTTCCTCGGTTCTCTTCTTTGTGTCGCTCTCAGGTGTCGACGTCATCGCGGCCCACCTGGGGTTTGATTTAAAGTGTAATTGTGACGTCACAAAAGGTGGGCCGAGCTTCAATAACCTATAAATAAAGAAAGCATTCAAATTTTTCACAATTAACATGTAATGTGTTGGTTAAGTTTCCCCATAAACATGTTAAACAAAAGTTTTATTATATCAGATAAATGTTTATATTTAAAGATTGTTAATGTTAATATTTAAATTTATATTATTTTCACATTTCAAACTATTGATGATTAAACTGAACACAAAGAAAATCAAATAAGCATTTATAGAGCTGTTTTAATCCCAGATTAGGGACAGTGTAGAAAAAGATTATACATTTCACAAAAAAGTCAGAATTTTTTGAGATTCAAAGGTTGAACATTTTCAACTTTTGAACATTTTTGGGTAAAACACAGAAATGTTTTACTGTGAGTGAAACATTAAATATGATTTCACTTGAAACACTTTTTTATGCCCAAACATTAAACTCTGAGTTTGTTCCTCCAACTGCAGCAGACCCAGAATCTGATTATTACTAAACTTTAGATTTCTGAAGTTATTATGAGTTATAATCTTAATATTTGTGTTGTACTCACTGTGTTTGTCCGCTTTGATCAGCTTCAGACCGGAACCGGTAAATCCAGCGCACCAGGCGGACCTTTAAGGTTCTGGCTGAGGTTCGGTTCCTATCTGAGTCCAGATCCTCCTCCTCCTTTTCTTCTCCTTCTGTGATGTCATAGCCTGACATCCGCGCACGCTATCTGCTCAGAGCAGACTGCACGAGCTGGAAGAAAGCCCCGCCTACCGGACACCTGTCTGAAAAGAAATGGGTCACGTGACTTGTCAGAAACGGATCAATCATCTGCTTTCTATTAATTTATGTTTTTATTTTGGTCAGAAGCCTGTTTCTGTGTTTTTGTGTGTGTCATATTTGAATTTTAGTGAAAATTTTTATTTTCTTTTTCCTGTAAAAATACTGCATTAACTATACTACATTTACACAGTATTCCTTAGAAATAAGTGCATAAATAAATACTTATTTTTAAGTATTTGTTATCTGATATATGTATTTTACATTTTTTTTATTTTGGTCACAAGTTTGTTTTTATATTTTTTGTATCATATATGGAATTTGTATTATTTATTGAAAGTAAAAATTAAACTTTGACACCACATTATTGCTACTGTGTGGGATTTTAAGAGTTTGTCATCTGACATACTAATAAAAGGGTGTTGTGAATTTCATTTATTTTATGTTTTTTATTATATATTTTGTGTATTTACTTTTTCAGTTATTTTCTCAGCTGCTTTTTGTTCTAATGCAGAATAGTAATGCAGAATGTTACTAATTAAATTAATAATTTAATTATTAATAAATTATTAAATGTATTAATAATGTTAACCTTTACAGATTTGCAACATCATAGAAAGGTCAGTAACTCAAAGATTTAAACACGTTCTTTAAAAAAATCCCACTCCTGCTCCTAACAGATCTTCAGTCAAAATCTAAAGGCAAAAAAAAAAAAAAATGATGTTGTCTGCAAAGCTAAATATTTTATTTATTAAGGTAAAATTTATTTCCTCAAAATAAAAATAAAAAACAACCATAACCTACATTCTTTCTGTATTTATTGCTTATTCTGGTTCGTGCTGTAATGTTGCCCTCTGTCCACCAGAGGGCAACATTGTCTTAACTCCGCAGTTTCATTAATTTAATTTTTGAATTTTAATTTAAATTATTTTCTACTCAAACATGTAGGTGGTGCATGCTAACATGTTTTGAAGAATTCCGTGTATGAATCAATACATTTATTTATTTATTTATTTATTTATTTATTTATTTATTTATTTATTTATTTATTTGTGTGTCAAATCTCCGTGTGTTGCTTCAGTTCTCAGCTTTGTCCTCCGATGCAACGGCTGTAAGTATGAACAACCTCCTCTCTTTTGTTTGTCTATTTATTTATTTTTGTTTATTATTTAAAATGTTTATTGTTTAAAATGCTTTAAGACGTTACCGAATGTGTTTGTTTTAACTACAAGCTTAATGAATGATGTTCAATCTTTAATATAGTTCATGATCTGTTTTTCCTGTCAATTGTCATAATAAGCATAATAATAAACAACCTGATAAGATGAAAGAAACCCAGTTTAAAGTGTTTGGTGTATAAAATCAGACAATAAACAGGCAGATTGTGTTTTAAATGAAGAGATCTACTTTGTGTTGATATTTTATTTTCCTCCTTGAAGCAATAAACCTTTGATCTTTAATCCCAGCAGGAGGATTAAGCAGATTTTCTCATCATTAATCCGTTTCTTATCTTCATCTTTCCATCTTTATCCCTTTGTCCTGTCGTTCTTCCTCCTCTTCTCTGTTTAATTTCCTGTCTTGTTGTTGTGACGTCATATGCAACAGGCAGATGTAATCAGTGATAAATGATAATCTATTCTGTGGCTCGGGGAGGTCAGAGAACCGCGTCATTTTACGTCATGTCCTGCTGTCTGACGCTCCTTATGCTCCTCCTTTTGATCCATTCATCATCCCTCCAGGGGGTGGCGCTGTGGCGCCGGGGGAACCGAGTGTCTTCCATCAACGCCTGCCAGCAGAAGGAGGCGCCGGACGGAGGATTGATGGTTCGCTGCAGCGGACTCCGACTGACCCAGGTCCGTCTGCTGGTTCCAGTTTAACCAGTAGATTCTTTGGTTGAGTTTTTAAAGTGTCAGATTGATCAAGCTGGTCTTTTATCGCGATATTTTATGGTACTATTGTGATGATGATAAAAAATGATAATAATAAAACTGTTGTTTTTTTTACTACGTTTTTAGATAACCGTGTGGCTGTGGCTGCATTCATAGCCCTACAAAGACAAATATTGTTCTTGGAAAAACATTCTGATTTGAACCCGGCATCTTCAGGACGCCAGTTACTTAAAAAGTGATTTATTTTTGCTAAACTGCACATGCATTTAATCGTATTTTCAAATTTGATATTTATTCAGAGTTGGGAACAATAGCTACATTTACTCAATTACACTTACTTGAGTACTATACCTAAAAATTTACTTTTAGGCATATTTTTACTGCCCTGTGCTTCTTACTCCTACTTGAGTAATTTTATCATAAAGTATCACTACTCTTACTTGAGTAAAATTTCTGGATACAAGCTTTTTTTAACAAAAAAAAAGAGGAAGAAGAAGAAAAAGAAACACCAGACTCAGACACATGT